TGAGGCAGCTGCTGGCTGTTTGAGGCCTTCCTCCTATGCATCAGGGGAGAAGGCCTGATATGGCCAGCAGCTGTCTCACAAAGGGCCAGTCCCGGCGCGTCTCATCAGCAGCGGTAGGAAGAAGATGGAGAAGGTCAGCTGGGGGTGGCAGGGGGTGGCAGGGGCAGCAGAGCACTGGGCAACAGGGGCTACAGGGGCAGTGGAGTGCAGGGCGGCAGGAGCAGAGGAGTGCAGGGTTGCCAAAAGGGCAGAGATGGGGGGGAGATAGGCGGTGGGGGGAAGTTGAAGCCCACCCTGCGGTCGTAAATACAAGCTGGCTGCCAACCCCCCACATTTTTATCATGTGACTGCAGGGGCGTTGCAATAGCCACAGCTTTGAGGACCAGGTATAGTACCATTTGTTCAGTGCTATTGTAATTTTGAACAGTTGCTGAATGAATGGCTGTTTAACGAGGACTACTTTTAAGGCTTTAATGTTATATTGCTACTTCTAAACTGCTTAAAGTCTTTGGAAGTGAAAGTATAAAATAAAGATTCTGTTCCATTCGATCAGTGGCTTTCAGGCAATTCTAGAGAATGAAGTTTATGAGAGATTTGAGTAGTAACAGTAATAATGAAGGTTTAAGCAATTGCTGACATTCTTTATCCTCCATCCTACTGTTTCTACCACCAGTGCTATCAGGAACTGCAGGCGATAAAGAAACATTCTATTGTATTTTGATATTTACACCTTCATTCATGAGCTTCTGAAAAACAGACTAGCATGTAATTGGCCATTTTGATAAAGTAGTATTTATCATACCCTGAATATAAAAGAATCTACAGGAAAGAAAATTGGATGACGTGAATTTGAATTACTATATTGGCCCTGCACATAAAACGCATTTTCTTAGTTCTGTAAATTCTGTAAAAAGAATGGGAAGGACCAGTTAATTGTTAAATGTGATATAGACTTCATTTGGAATTTCTGCTTTAGTTGTTGAAATATCTTTCAGCCAGCTCTGGATTAAAATTTGATTGCTGTTAGGCAGTGAAGTAAGCATTTGTGCTGAAAATATGCCTAAAGCCTGGGTGACCCTAGAATTATACCAATAACTTTGGGGCAAACCTATTCTGTATTTGTGGTGTGAGAGGAAAATTTTAGTAGCCTTCTGTATGTTTTAATGTTAGTTTTGATTGCATTTAATAAAGCCAAGTTAGCTTCTTGTGACCTGTAGGGCAATGGAAACCTGTACCCTACTTCTGTTTCATAGCTAAAGAGCTCCTGG